AGGTGTAGGACAGCCCTCCCCTGAGGTGTAAGTGTGGCACTCCCCCCCCAGGTGTAGGACAGCCCTCCCCTGAGGTGTAAGTGTGGCACTCCCTTCAGGTGTAGGGACTGCAGGTATAGGACAGCCCTCCCCTGCGGTGTCTACTTTGGGTCTGGGGTGACCTGACATGACCACCCCCCAGCTGGTCTCATGGCCCTGCACTCAGGAAGTCCCCCGATAGATACCATCAGGCCCAGCCTATCTGATGGAAAGCCCTTCCGGATGTTTCTCTGGGGCTCAATTCTAAGTCTCCAAATTCAACGAAAGTCACCAGGTCCTGGGACCCATTGGCACTTGCTTGGTGCCAGGTGAGGCTGGCCTTCGAGAAGGGGCTTGTGGCTGCTCTGCCATCACCCTGGGACCCTCCCCAACCTCGGTTCACCCTCCCACTGGGCCCTTGAGCCTCCCCCTCCCCGAGGGGAGCATTCTGGTGACTGGCCTGTCCATGAGGGTGCCTGGGCAGCTCGTGGGCAGGTAGCCAGGTGTGCAGGTCATGAGTTGGTTCCTGTTGCTCTGCCTGCTGCCGTTTCAGGTCTGACGGTCATGCTGTAGAACGGGCTGCACTGATCTGACCCCTCCTTGGCACAAGCATCTCACAGACATGCCCGTGGGTGACCTGAGACCCTTGTTGCCCTGCCTGGCCTGATCACAGGGCCAGGGCCATCTGAGCTGTTTGGGAGAACACATCAGCTTCCAGTCACCACGCCGGCCCTCGCATGGGCACCTCCCCGAGACAGCAGCCCACCACCCCCAGTCCACCCTCCCCCGGGCAGCAGGCCTCCTGGCTCCCCTCAACCAGGCAGCACCCATTCTAGGGCACCTAATAAGCCGACAGGCCTTTCTGCGCTGGAGAGGCTTGTGGGGGGCCTGGCTCCTCAGAGAAGGGGGACAGGAGACCTGGGGTAAGTGGGCAGACCCTCCGCCACCTTGTCCATCTGCTACTGATGCCCACCCACCCCTACAGCTGACTGGACTGGTTCTCCAGAGCCTGCTCCCATGGGCTTGGCTCAGCAGCTAGGCCTGAGCCAAGATGGACTTAGAAGTGTCAGCCAAGTGGGACAGGCTGCGGGGAGGGACAGGGATACTGAGCGATGCACAGAGGCCCAGAGGAGGCAGCAATGACTCACTTCCGGTATTTACTGGGCACCTACTGAATTCCCAGCCCAGCTCAGCTCCAGCGTGGGGGAGGCCCAAGCAGCAGAAGGCATGGCCCCTGCCCAGGTGGTGCCTAGTCTGATCTGTGAGGCGTGTGAACCTAGTGAGCAACCCATGAGCACCTTACACGCTGGGATGAGTGCTCTGCACCCTCTCACGGCTACCCAGAGCCTGAGGAAGAGCTGCCTCTGCTTTAGTGTGTGAGCATCCCGAGGTTTGAGGCTGACTCTTTCATCTCTGTGAGTCCAGGCAGAAGAGACTTTAGTAAGCTATGAGTGGGCAACTAGAGAGGATGGATGGACAGGTGGACAGATAAACAAGTGGATGGATGGATGATGGATGGATAGATGATGGATGGATGGACAGAGGGAGGGATGGTGGGTGGTTGGATGGATGGATAAGTGATAGGTTAACTGGATGGGTGCGTGAGTACATGGATGGATGAATGACTGAATGAGTGGATGGATGAGTGGATGCATGGTTGCCTGGTGGGTGGGTGGATGGATGGGTGGGTGGGTGGATGGATGGATGGATGGATGGATGATGGATGGATGGATGGATGGATGGATGGATGGATGATGGATGGATGGATGGATGGATGGATGGATGGATGATGGATGGATGGATGATGGATGGTGATGGGTGGGTGGGAGGATGGGTGGACAGACAGATGGAGCACCTTTCCTTCAGATATTTGCACAAATGTTACCTTCCCAATAGATATTCTTTGACCAGTCTATTTCCAATTAAAGTTCTCAACCACTGGTTCTCCTCCGCTTTTTCTCCTCAGCCATTTTAATTATTTTACTCATTTCTTACAGCAATGATTGTGAGGTCGGATAAGGAGCAAGGGGATGGATGGGGGTGGCCTGAGAGAATGGGGCAGGGGTCCACAGATGCCCTTTTTTAAGGAGCCATGAGCACTTCTTTTCTCGCACAGACCAGGCGGAAGGGAGAATCGGTTTCTCGGCCTCAAGGGCCCAGGAGGAAGGACAGAGGGGAAGCTGAGCAGTGTCTGGGCCATGGTCTCCCTGGCCTGACACCCACATCTTGAGCTCCAGCTGTGCCTGCAGGGCCAGCCTCCCAGAGTGCTGTGTGTCCACACACACACACACACACACAGAGTGGACACACCCTCTTTGGCCCCCCTGCAGCCATAGCTGGACACAAGGTTCCGTGACACTCTGCAGTTCTGCCATTGAACCGCCAACCACCCTCAGCAGCGGGGCGTGATGTCTCCTTCCTGGAGTTTCAGAAAGCTCCAGGCAAGGTGGCTGGAGGGGAGGGGAGTGGGTCCTGAGCCGGAGACGTGGCTCTGCATCCTGGCTCAGCCCCTGGGTGGCTGTGTGGCCTCCCTGGCTTCCGCCCCTCCTCGGTGGCCCCCTCCCAGGGCTGGCCATGGGGGTTGGAGATGATGCTCTGAGGTTACTGCAGCGCACAGAGGCGGCCAGCTGCAGGGGAGGCCCGTGGCCCTGTGGAGCAGGATGCAGGCAAGAGGCCTCACTGCATTGAGAGCCACTCCCTCTGTCCCTTCCCTTTCCAGTCCCCGCTCCCCCGGTCAGAGCCACACACAAGGGTCCAACGCTGGACGCAGGGTCCTGGACTGTTGGAGGTCCCAGTGGTCATTTTAGGAGCAAGGACTGGCCATGGGACCACGGCTTCAGAACCATGGGCTGCTGCCTTGGGAGCAGACTCTGTCTTGTGGGGGGTTAGGGTGGGGAGGGGGTAGACAGCTTTACTGGGGGAGGGGGTCAGGGGTGTGAGTCTGGGCGACCTTCTATCCATCCTGCTGTGACCACCCTTAATTGGGGTGGGGAATGGTCCCCTATGGCTCTGCTGGCCCCAAGGGCTCTCGGCCACCACTGGCCCATACTCGGGGTCAACCCAGAGACCATGGATGGTGACTGTCCTCCAGGGCTGGCCCTGCCACCCTTCAGCATGGCCCCACCATCCTCCAACAAGGAGTGGGGAGAGCTTTATGCTAAAGGTGACGTCCCTAAGGACCAGGGCGACTTAGCAGCAGCCCTGACCCATCGCTCCCTTCCAGCAGTGCTGTGTGCTCCACGCTGTCCTCCTCACCAGAGTCTGGACCTTGGGCTCCTCAGAGGGGCTGGGAGGAGCTGGGCTGGGTCAAAGGAGGCCTCGCCCCGCTGGGGCCCACCACACCCATGGGAGCCCCCGGTAACACACCCTCTCTGGTCATCATCCTCCTTGCAAGCCAAAGGTCAGAGGGTGCCAGCCAGTGACCGTCCAGGGGACAGAGGTCTGGTGGGGAAGGGCCCCCGTTGAAGCCACGATCTCCTGGATGTGGCCTCTCCGCAAAAGGAAGTCCACATGAGTGCGGCCCTGTCCTGTGCGATGCCTGCCCCTCTGGCTACAGCAAAGGGGATGCAAGTGCTAAAAATAAAGCCACAGAGGAGCAGAGGGCAGCCGGCTGCTCCCGTCAGCTCCTGGAATGCCCTTGTCCCCTGGACGGTGTGCGTGGGTGCGGGTGAGCCCCAGCAGCTATCCACCACATCCGCCCAGGAAGCCACCGCCCCAATGCCTCCCCCAGTACACGGGTCTCCCCCAGACCCCTCAGCCCTGCCCCACAGGGCTCAGCCATGGACACACCCAGACACTCACTCACTCACTCATTCATTCATTCCCTCACTCATTCCCTCACTCATGCACTTGCTCACTTATTCATTCATTCACTCACTCATTCAATCATTCACACACTCATTCATTCACTCACTCATTCCCTCACTCACTCACTCATGCACTCGCTTACTTATTCACTCACTCATTCAATCATTCACACACTCAATCATTCACTCACTCATTCATTCACTCATTTATTTGCTCATTCACTCACTCATGCACACACTCACTTATTCACTCATTCATTCATTCAGCAACTTCAGACCACCTGCTCTGTGCCTAGGGGGCAGGCAGCAGTGAAGGTGCCCTCATAGGCCTGACAGGCCCCGACAGCAGACACAGACAAGCAAACAAGGAATGAAAAGGGCACTGCAGGTGGTACCACCCCCAATGAATACCGCAATGTGAACAGAGGTCGACGGACAGCACCCTGAGCCGGTGTAGTGGGTGGGGAACGAGCGTGGGTGCAAGACCCGAGTGGTGCTGACGGGGAAGAGTGTCCCTGGCAGAGTGGCAGAAGCAAAGCCACCGATGGGGGGAGCCAAGTGGAGGCCGATGGTCGGAGAGCGGGGCGGGTGGGGGGAACAGGGGAGGCTGCAGCCGGCAGGTGCTGTTCTCCTGGGCTGCGGGGCTTGGAGTTCACTGTCAGGGTGACGGGGAGTCATGCAGGGTTGAGAGCAGGGAGGGGCCTGATCTGGCACTGGACCGGGGTCAGGTGAGACCGAGGAGTGGCCAGGAAGGCCAGCTGCAGCCCCTCAAGTGGCCCTTTGGGGGTAGTGGGGACAGAGACAGAAGGAGGAGACAGGACTGTGTGCCGCAGCCCCCACAGACTCGGAGGGTCTGGGGAACCCCCTCACTCTTCACATACTGCCCTAAAAACCAAACCCACTGCTCCTCAAGTCCATTCCGACTCCTAGCGATCCTATAGGACAGAGGAGAACGGCCCACAGGGTTTCCAAGGACCAGCTAGTGAATTCGAACTGCCAACCTTTTGGTTAGCAGCCAGGCTCTTAACCACTGCGCCACCAAGGCTCCGCGCCCGCAGACACCAGCAGCTCCATGGCAGGGCAAAGCGGTGGCTATGAAGCCAGGCTGGACGTTGAAGGCCAGGCTGTGACTCAGCCGTGGACCCCAGCCTCTGGCCCCTCTCTGATCCCTCAGCACCCACCCCCGACCCCGCTCTGGGCTGGGGTCTGGCCCTTCTGCCCTCTTAGAATTGACCCTACAGGGGCTCAGGCCCTGGGCTTTTGGGGTCCCTGCCCTGGAGTCCGATTTACCTGATGCCCTGCTTCCGAGTTGCCCCATTTTTTACCTACGGACCTCAGGCCAGGGTCACCTCTCTGCAGGCTCCAGGTGACCAAACGGGGCTAGGGTGTGTGGATGGCCACCTAACTGTGATCCTACGGTGTCCCCTAGTGGCCAGCTGGCAACACTGCAGAGGCCCCAGTGTCCAGAGCGTGAGTCCTGAAAGCCGTTCCCTAACACTCCTGGAAACTCAGGGTGTGAGGGGTCCCTGGGCAGGGGTCTCCTTGGAGAAGAGGGTACAGAAGCATTTTCCAGGCTCTGCTCTCTTTGTGTGTTACCCATGTGTCATGGATTTAACTGTGTCCCCCCCACCACCACCAAAATATGTGTCAACTTGGCCAGGCCATGATTCCCAGTACTGTGTGGTTGTCTGCCATTTTGTGAGCTGAGTATCCTCCATTTTGTGATATGTTGTAAATCTAGCCTCTCTGCCTGTGGTTATGGTCCCATGTGGGAGTGAGCTGTTATGTTAATGAGGCAGGATTAGGTCATGTTACTGAGGATTAGGGTGGGAGGCAAGCAGGTCACAGCCCTGATGCTCTGTAACGGGAGTTCCCCTGGGGTGTGGCCTGCATCACCTTTTATTTTACAAGAGATTAAAGGAGAGAGAAGGGAACAGAGAGGGGGGCCTCCTAACACCAAGGAAGAAGAGCTGGGAGCAGAGCCCGCCTTTGGACCCGGGGTCCCGGCACTGAGAAGCTCCTAGACCAGGGGAAGTTTGATGACAAGGACCTTCCCCCAGAACCGACAGAGAGAGCGAGCCTTCCCCAGGAGCTGGCGCCCTGAATTCGGACTTCTAGCCTCCTAGACTGTGAGAGAATATATTTCTGTTTGTTAACGTCATCCATGTGTATTTCTGTTACAACAGAAGTAGAGAACTGAGACACCATGGAATCCTCACAACCCCCTGGAAGCTGGCCTGTTAGGATCCCCATTTTACAGACAGAGAAACTGAGGCTTAGAGGGGTCAGAAGCTTGAAGAACATGAGTGTGTGAGCCCAGGACTGTGGGCCCCACAAGGCAGCCCCATGGCCCCACCCTGCCAGATGAAGGGGCCCCACAGGGCACCCCATAGCCTCCTGCCCTGCTGGATGAAGGGGCCCCAGAGGGCACCCCCATCGCCCCTGCCCTGCCAGATGAAGGGGTCCCACAGGGAACCCCCATGGCCCCTGCCCTGCCAGATGAAAGAGTCCCACAGGACACACCCATGCCCCCCCACCCCCCCGCCAGATGAGGGGGTGGTGCCCATGCGGCGCTAACGGCCCCAGTTCCCCAAGAAGGCACGCCATGGAGGCCGCCCTGACTTTGGCCAGTGTGTATGCACAGTTCCTGCCGGGACCACCCTTCCCAGGTATGGGGGTGGGGAGGCAGGGGAAGAGGGGCCCCAGGGCAGTCTCTCTGACTGCCCTGTCCTCCATAGGACGGCTCGGACAGCCTCGGTGTGCCTCGTGCTCTGGTGGCGGGGGGCAGCTCCTGCTCCCACCTGCTGGAGAGAGAAGCAGGCTCGGCAGGGAACTGAGGCACGAGGAGCCCCACGCAGGCCCACGTCAGAGTGCGGGCCACACCCAGGCTTGAGCTTGGGGCGGGGGAGCAACCACAAGGGTCAGATCACCGCTCAGCACCAGGGCTGCCCCGTTAGACGGGACCTGCCCTGCGGGCTGGCTGGGGCTAATCATACAGAGAGAAGCTGACCCTCTGGTGGAAGGCTGGACCTGGGCTCCGAGTTTGTTAAGGGCCTGGCTCCCCGGAGCCCGCTTGCTGCCCAGGTGCTGGGTGCAGTGGGCGGGGAGGAGGTCGAGGAGGAGGGGCCAGGCTGGGAGGAGGGGTGAGGCTGGGGGAGGAGGGCAGGATCGCAGGCGCACCCTGTGCGGTGGGCAGAGGGTTTCTCCCTGCACCCGGGCCAGCAGCTACATGCCAGGGCACCGGGCAGAAGGCAGGCAGGTAGGTGTGCCCAAGTTGGGGGCAGGAGTGCCCACCTGCTCTCGGGGCTGGAAGGCTGGGGGGCAGGAGGGGAGGTAGGTTCAGGTGTTGCGGGGCCCTGGCCACATCTCGACATCTTCAGCGTGGGATGAACCCCACCTTCCTCGGACTGCGTTTGGGAAGGTGGCCTCTCTTCTCGGGACCCTGGGGGACAGGCTGTCCTCTGCCCCTTGTCCAAAGCCAGTGTGTGAGGCAGGCATGGGGAGGGGCGACCCCATGGGCTCGGGTCCAAGACCCTCGGGCAGTGCCTGTCCTAGCAGACCAGACTGGGGGGGGGGGCTCTGAAGCCAGGTGCCTGGTGGGTTGGGGTGTGTGGGGTGAGGAGGGAGGTGGCTGCGGCATTCCAGACATGCCCCCGACCCCAGCAACTGCCTTGGCAGTCAGATTTCACGTCCCTGCCCCCCCGGCCCTAGGAGACCCCCCAGCCCCAGAGAAACCCCCAGCCCCAGGGAGACCACCCCCAGCCCTAGGAGACCCCTCAGTCCAGGGGAGACGCCCCCAGACCCCAGGGAGAACCCCCAGCCCCAGGGAGACCCCCCTCCTGCCCCAGAGAGACCCCTCATCTTGGCAAGGGGGAGTGACACACCTGACTTCATGCCTGCTGCATGCAGGGACCATTCTGGAGCCTTCTCCGCGTTACTGCCCATGTGGACAGACGAGGAGATGGGCCCAGAGAGTGAGGGAACGTGCCCCAGGTCACACAGACAGGGGGACGCCTGGGCTGGGACCCTGGGCTGCAGAGCCTGCCCATCTCGGCCCCACGCCGGGCCCTCATGAAAGACAGGGGTGCCGCAGTCAGCTCGCCAATGCCTTCTGTGATGGCCTCAGGCTAGAGGTGGCCGTTCCCCCCAGCAGGAGCCCCAGTGCCCTGACTGCAGCCGCCACCTCCTAGGGGTTGTCTGGGAAGATCTCGGCCACTGGTCCCATCGGGCCCCTGGCTCCCTGGCTCCCAGAACCCACGGGGTGGGGGGGCTGGTTATAGACCCAGGCACCTGCTCATGCAAATCCTGCCCCCCCTTGCCCGCCCCCCTCCTGGTGGCCCCATTTGCCTAGCGTCTGGCACGCTGCCCAATACCCCTCAGTTCTCAGCAGGGAAGCTGGGGGCCGGGTCTCTGTCAGGGCTGCCTGGGCATCACGGGTGGGGCAGCCCCCTTATTTTGCCCAGAGAAGCTAGTGGGTGGGGCAGGCCTCAGGTGTGGGGGGCACTGCAGTGGCTCCAGGGGACAGGAGGCTGGCCCTCAACACTACTGCTTGGCTTCTGTGACCCAGGAGCCCCACCTGCCCCGTGGGAGGGATACCCCAGGTGGGCATAGGAGGGGCTGGTGGCCAGGGTCCTTGCCTGGCTTCTTACACAGAGGTTGGGGAGCACCTGAGCACTGTCACCAAGGGGCCAGGCTGGGGGCCACCCCCAGGGAGTCAGCTGGGAGGTCAGGGGTCCCACCTGTGATCACAGGCCAGAGGCCCACAGGGCTGGCGAGGACAGTATAGTCACCCAGGTCAGCCCAGCCCCAGGCAAGGGTCACGGCTGGGGCCCAGGCCCCCCACACCTTGGGCAAGGGGGCACCTCCAGCCACCCACTTATGGGGCACGTGCCCAGATGTGGCGAGGGATATGCCACTGGGCAGCCAGGCCCCCACCCAGCAGCCTCTCCAAGGCCGGTCACCGACTCTGGCCTCCCATATTAAAAACCAGCAGGCAAATTTCTGCCAGCTTGGGAGGCCGTATTCAAATCCTGCTCCTCGAGGGCCCCTTGCCCCCCAAGTTCCTGCACTGGGAGGGGAGGAGGTGGTGGAATTTGCATCCCTTTCCTGGGGTACCTTGAGGGTGTGGAGAACATGGGGAGACCGCAGGGCGCCAGCCCTGCCAGGTGGAGGCAGGGCCCAGGGGGTGGGGGCCTGCCGCGCTGCACAGCTCGGCCGGATTTGCCCCGGGGCCGCCATCCAAGGCACTGCTGGGTCAGCAGGCACAAGGACCTCGGCCTCGGTGCCCTGCCTAGGCCCCTGCCTGCTGCCCTCCCTCCTGCGTGCATAGGTGGGCCCAGGCTGAGGAACAAAGGGCCGCCTTAAGAATGACGGACCCGGGAGGGGCCACAAAAGGCTTTCTGTTCTGCTCACAGAGTCTCGTCCGTGGTGGACACCCCCCAGGACACCTGGGGCAGTGAGAGGGCAGAGTGGGGCTGATTCAGGACAGGCTGAAAACAGCTTGGCAGGACGAGGGTGCTGCCGGCCACCCCAGGCTTGACATGGGGTGTGGGGCCTGCTCCCTGCCCACAGCAGCCTGGGGACAGTGAACTCGCTGGTGGCCAGGGACCCACAGAAGCTGGGGAGCCACGGTCCACCTGGGCTCATGGAGCCCACAGGCCACACGAGGCTCCTGGACCTCGCAGGGCCACTGGCCCACAGGCTCTCAGGACATCTTGGTCCCAGGGTCCGGGGTCCCCTGCTGTGCCCCGGACCGGCCTGTGCTCAGTTCTGGGGGAGCAGATGGAGACACAGGCTTGTTCCCACTACTGAGTTTTGCAGGAAGGGTGGGAGCAAGGCCAGGATGGGCCGGGCTGTGGTCCTGGGATGGTCAGGCAGCTGGGAGGCGGCAGGCAGTGTGGCTAGGAGGCGCGGGGTGCTCCAACTGGTAGGTGGGGGGAGCCCGACTCTTAAACCTGGGCAGGTCCCAGGCCACGGCTCCCCCCACCGCCTTGCCCTGCTGTCCCTCTAGCATAAAGGGGTGGCGTTCCCGCCACGCCGGCTGTCAGATGTGAGCAAACCGCCTGGGCGAGGGCTGACTGCTGCCCACTTTTTTAGCCTCTTCCCCTCATTTGGAGCCCTGGTGGCGCAGTGGTTAAGTGCTCGGCTGCCAACCAAAAAGCTCAGCAGTTGGAATCCACCAGCCGCTGCACGGAAGCCCTAGGGGGCAGCTCTACTCCGTCCTGTAGGGTCGCCGTTTTGGGTTTTTCTCCCTCGTTTGCTGAGACGCAGGCTGCAGTGGGGGAACCCCTGGGGGACTGGGATCTGCCACTGATGTGCTGTGTGACCTTGGGCAAGGGCCGCCCCTTCTGGCCTCCTGGGCCCACCTGGGCAATGGGGCTAGCCTCTGGGGGTGACCTCACCCCTCCCTCCACCCGCACCTGAGCCATGTCACCTGCCTCACCTCTCACCTGCCCTCCCTGCTCTGCCCAGGTGACCCATCCCTGTCTAGGGGCCAACGGGGGTGTGGGTTGGGGTGGGCCATGGGGGCAGGAAGGCTGCAAGTCCTGGGCTAAGTCTTCACGGGTCTCCAGGATACCCACCGCGAAAGCTGCCTGATGAGAGGCAGCAACGGGAGCGGCCGGCCCGAGGCGCCTGGACCCAGGTGAGTGCGGACGGGCTGTCAGCCCGTGGGGGGTGGGGGAGGGGCACCGGCTTCAGCCCCCCCCTAGTCAGAGCCATAATGGTGGGGCTGGCGATCAGGGGGCAGAGCTGCCCTCGTGGGGGCACCCAGGTCTCTGCCCTGTGGGCTGGGGCGAGGGCTTCCCCGATGCTCTGTCCTGCAGAGAGGCCCCCATGCAGGGTGCCCAGGACCCCCGTGCCGGCAGCCCCGGGGACACTGGAGACCAGTGGGGGCCGAGACTGTGCCGGGGCGAGCTTGACTTCGGTGGGTCTGGGAAGAAGCGTGGCAAGGTAAGGGCGGCCGCCCCCTGCCCCAGTGACCCCCGCTGTGCCCTTGGACGGTGCTCAGCCCTCACCTCCTCCCCTGAAAACTTGGGCAGCGCCCAGAGCCCTGATGGCAGTGTGGGAGCTGGTGTCCCTCTGGGTGTGGGGGCCCTGCAATAGCCCCACGCTGCTGGCCCACAGGGTCTGCCTAAGCGGTCAGAAGCACTGGGGGAAGCAGCCCCAGGTGGCCTGGCGCAAGGGCGATCGGGACCCCTCTTCGATCCAGCCCCTTGGGTCCCCAAGAAGGAGACGGGGCCCCAAGTAGGGTGGGGACTGCTGGGCCCTGCCCCCAAGAGTCAGGAAGAGTCAGGAACCCTTTCCTCCTGCCGGCCGCCTTGGTGCCCGCCCCCAGTGTCACCCCCCAGTGCCCAGGTACTCCCTGCGCCTCTGGTGCCTGTGCCCCGTGCTCATTTCCCCTCCCAGGGCCTGCCCTCCACAGCCCATCCCCCCCGGT